TTCCTTTTTGAATCCATTCAAATCAAATCTAGATTATCATTGCTATATGTTTTTCTACAACATCCCCTTATAATTGAACATATGCAATGAAAATTTAAGCTCTTTTTCAATTAAAGCCAAACTCTATATCTTATCATTGTATACTGGATTATAGCTCTTATAATTCGATATATGTGAAAAAATATAAAATTACATTCAAATTCAAATTCAAGGTTCTATTTCAAATCCTTTCTTTTCCAAATCTCAGATAATCAACTCTTCTGAAATGGCTAGAAAACTATTGTTCTCAATGGGCAATGACTTAATGATTGAAGAATTGATCTATGAGAATTCGATTCAGTTTGGAGTGGGATTTAAATCTCTAAGACTGGTAATGAATGGGAGCACTCTGGTAGACCTCGCTGTTGAGGGTGAGAAGGATGCCCTGATAGTTCAGTTAGCTATAGGAGCTGAAAATGATGCCCCTCATAGCCTTTGGTCAGCACTAGCTCTCGCTTCCGCACCCAAGGGATTTTTCAAGGAAGAAAAGAAGCTAGAAGTCGCCACTAAAGGTAAGACAGTGTCTGAGAAAGGGTCCTCGAGTTTTGAGACCCTCTATGGTAGTAAGAATGTTAAGAAGAACTACCTTAGGAGGGTAAGAAAGAAAATCACCAATTCAAAGAAGATGGCCGAGCTGAAGGCCTTAATGAAAGTCAAACTTGAGGCTGCTGAGGAGCTGCCAATCCTCGCCTCTTCTCCACTCCTGAAAGGGAGTCGATTTCACCCCCTTGCAGATGCTAAGGGGGAGGAGAGAGTTACTAAGATAGCTAGCACTCCGCCTAATCGAGTGTACTATTCTTCTAAGAGAACTCCAAAGAAAAAGCTTACTTTGAGGACTATAATGTTGAGGAATATCATCCACACCTGTGCTGCTCATACAGGTCATACTAAGGAACAATATGTGAGACACTTGAAGGGGGTGATCTCACATAAGCTTGAGTAGGAGGTGTTGAAAGAAGAAAAGTCTGAAGTAAAGAACTTGACTCCTCAGCCAATGAGGAGAAATAAGAAGTTAGTTAAGCAGACTGTGACTTCAATTCTTGTAGATGGATATCATTGGGTGCCTCGCCTCCCATCTACAAAGACGGAGGAGATATTATTAACTAGGTCCTGACAGAGTTGCCCTCTTAGCGGTAGACCACCGACCCCACCTTCAAAATTGTCCAATCTGGACCGAGTGATCGCCCGATCCAAAGAAGTTCTTAAAGAGCTAAAATCGATTGATATCAAGGGCAAGAGGCCCATGTCACCAGATGAGTCATATGTTCGAAAGAAGTTTAGTAGATCTATTGAAATTCAAATTAGAGAACCTCAAATTCAGTGGTTAGTTGAAGTCCCCCGACTCCCAGTTCAAGGATATGAGGATTATTTTCTTAATGATGTTGGAGCTCCGTTGTTCAAGCTCCTCCATAACCAATTAAGATGGATATCCCTCACCCTACTAAGGATGTCACCCTTGCGACTATCGACCTTGGGACAGTTGGAGTGGAGGAGACAATTCAAGATCATAATGAGGAAATGTTGGATCAAATTGTTGTAGAACAACAAATTGAAGAGGACATCAAAGTTTAAGACATCTTCGTTAAAGTGGGAGTAGAAGAGTTCAATCAAATATTGGATTAAAAAGAGTACTTACCAATCAACGCTGAGGCAATTGATGGGAGACCAGTTGATGAGGTAGTATAAGAAATCAAAGACATTCTTAAGAAGAAAACTGTTGAAGCTTTTAATCCGGATGATGATGATTTGTTGATGGAAGAAGATCAAGTAACAGATATTCGTATGGTCGAAACTCGAGCATCAACTAAGGATGTTGAACCTTCTAAACACCAGTCTGGTAAAGAGGAAGAATCAATAACAGTCGACTTAGATTCAAACAATTTTGTCATACTGAAAGAGAAGAATGAATATATTAAGAGTCTTGAAAGAAAAGTTGAGGAGATGATGATAAGAGTTGAGCAAATGCAGAATCAGCTTATCAAGTCACAACAATCTAAACCAGAGCAGTTGCAGCCTACAGTATACATAGTGAGTGAGAACAGCAGGAAGTCAGATTCAAATCCTAAACTTCTAGAAGTTACATCCCTAGTATCTCCAGCATATAAAGATATCTTCCAGATGATTGAAGCTCAGGTAAGGGAAGCCCTAGCTCTTTCTAAAGGAACTGTATCTATTTAAAAAGGTAGACCCTAACCTGAGGAATATGATTTGGTTCTTTACCCAAAGGGCTTCGTGCCATCTTCATTCAAAGTTTTTAGGGGGTTAGAGAACCCGAGACAGCATTTGGCCCATTTCCGAGTGAGTTGTTGCAACGTAGGAGGGTCTGATGCTCTACTCTTTCACTAGTTTGTGAGTAGTTTGTCCGATATTGCTTTTGAGTGGTACGCAGATTTTCCAAATGGTTCAGTGAAAACGTTCACAGAGCTCGAGGGTCTCTTCTTAAAAAGATTCTCAGGAGCTCAACGTGTGATCGTTGGTGATCTTGTTATCGAAAAATAAGAACTAGGCGAGTCTTTGGTTGAATATATCTTGAGGGGGTAAAACCTCTCGTTGAAGTGTGAACCCCAGCTGCAAGAGAAGCATGCAGTGGAGAATATTTTAAAGAAAATCCATAGGCCTATTGTTTTTTTCCTGAACGGTTTCACTATAAAAACCTTCGAAAAACTCTTGAATAAAGCTAGTAATCTACAGGAAGAGGCTTCCAAAATGCTACTCCTAAAAGATTCTATGAAAGATAAAAAAGCTAGCAAACCATTGAAGTCCTTTGAAAAGAGAACAACAATAATTTCAGTTATTGATAAAGGGAAGAAATCGGTCAACATCCAATCGAGTAATCCTATAATTAAACAAACTTAAAAATCTCAACCCTTTTAGGTAACTTCTCAACCTACTAGAGAATCTCACCATATTACTTTTAAAGAGAGATTGACTCATCTATATCTATTTAAAAGGGAGTTGGTGAGAAAAAATTTTAAGAGCCTTCAAAAGAAGTCAGATTTTTTATTGCCATAGGCTATGAAGTCGGAAGAGGCAAATAAAAAAGATGATCCGACCTTTTTCCCCTACCACCGCATGTTAGGCCACACAATTAAAGACTGCATAGTCTTCAAGAACTGCCTCAAGAAGAACTTCTGTCAATGTAACATCATAATTCCAAAGGAGTACTTGGTCAATCTAGATCAAGGGTCTATCAAATCTATTTAAGGTAAAAACTATAATCTTTCTCTGTCCCTTAAAGATGGTTGTTGGGTTATAACATTATCTCTGGCATTTAAAATTTTGATTTACCAATCTTTTCATCTTTCTCAATAGTTACGTACGAGACCTTGGGGCCCGATCTGGGAGGTTGACTTGGAGGAATCGTAGGAAGACGTTGGGATGATTTCCTCTCCAGTAGTTATAGGAACTACTGTAATAAATAAAAATAAAAAGAGTGAACTTTCTGTAGAGAGGAAATTTGTTGATGAGAGATCTGTACAAGTGGTGGATGGTGGCTCAAAAGCACTAGCCCCGCTGAAGTTATTTGACTTTTACTTTGCCACATCAAAGGAAAGTGGTCGAAAATCAAATAAAAAGAATGATCCTTCTGTAAGTATTTTGATGATTAATGTTGAGAATGTAATTCCGGATGACTCTTCTATTGAAATTAACTCAGAACCAACTGAGATCGATCAAGAAGTTCAAAAACTCAGATCTCTATATTCGACCCCTCATGGGGAAATTAAATCTAATGTCTTATCAAATGGTGATACCCTTGAAATTAACTTTCAAGGGAGTCCCATCATGATAGACTTCTCGAATTCAGATTCTCGCTCAGAAAATGAAAATCAATCACCAAACGAGAGCGTAGACCTCCCCATAGCTTGTTCTTCTGATGAAATCATGTAAGTACAGTTACGTGGTAGCAAGGTTTTACCCCCTAGGCTTCCCCGCACAGGAAAAAGGAAAACAAGTTGTTTTTACTAATCTGATTCAAATCCCCACTCAACAATCAAACCCTCCTTCAAACTCACCGGGTCCCGATGTTAATGTTCCAAGTGTTGATTATAATATCTTAGGTCACCTTAGGAAGTTTCCTGCTAAGTTGAGCATTTATGATGCCTTTATCCTTTCAAAAGAGATGAGGTAGACTCTAATTAAAGCACTTCTCGACCCATAGATTTTCTTAGCTCACTTAGCTTCAACTTCTGAAGGAAGAAGCTTTATTCTTCAAGAAAATCCCAGGTGTTACCTTCTCCAATGAAGATCTATTCCTAAGAACTACCGATCACAATCGCCCACTTTACATCACCGTAAATATGGGCAATTTCAAGCTATCAAGAGTTCTTGTTGATTCGGATGCATTGGTCAACATGATGAACATAAAGACTCTCACATCTCTAAGGGTTGATACTACTAAGCTCTCAACTGATAAGTTAGTGCTTCGTGGGTTCAACAAAAAGAGCAAGAAGGCTTTTGGTTCAATTACACTTCTTCTAGAGATAGGAGAGTTAAAAACTGAAGCAAAATTTTATATAATTGATTCGGCGACATCCTTTAATGCACTCCTAGGTAGGCCCTAGATCCATGAGTATAGGATGATTCCTTCTACCCTACATCAATGCATCAAGTACCAATGAGATGGCAATGAGTTTGAAATTAAGGGTGATCTGCAACCATTCTCTATTCACGAGGTTACGATATATGAGGATGCTACATATTATGTTCCCAAAGGGTCCATTGCCAAATCTAAGGTAGAGATCAATGTTAAGGAGGAAAAAGTAGAAAGTAAAGGTTTAAAAGCAATTCAAAAGTTGAGAAAAGAAAAGGTCAAGAATCAAAAAAGATAAAATTCAAGTAGTGAATATGATGTCAAGTGCGTGGTCTTTAGGCCTCTAAATAATTTACCTCAAAGAGTTGGGAGGATGGCCAAAAGAGCACACAGTTGAGGCCGCTCTTCATTTGAAAAGAGAAATCCCCCAATGTACATCGAACTTGAGATAAGTTCTGATGAAGAATCAAGAAAGAGTGGTGCCAGAATTGCTTTTGACTACAGAAAAATCAATCATCCTCCAAAGTTTGATCTCACCTTAGATTCAGATAGAGACCAGGAGGGTAACAATTCAAAACATGAAAGTGATGAGCCTGAATTTTGTCTATATGAAAAGCTTAATATGGCAGTTGAATCCTTAACCTTAACCCCATTATCCGTTGATAGAGTCTCAGGGTTAGTAACTAAGGATTCCCCTAACTTAGATGGTGATGTAAGGAAAGTCTAGAGGTTCTTTCCTGGCTCCCCCTCTTCAAGGAACGAAGATGATGTAATCCTTGAGGAGGCAGATATTAATGAGTAAATGAAATTACCCTTTGGCTGCTTTTCTATTAGTGTTAAAACTCTTATCTCTAATGGCTTCGCTCCAAGTCGATGGACTAAGGGTCAAGCTAGATACCAACATAATATTTGGAATTCAAAATTCAATAAAAATTGGACAAGTGGTATCAGCTTTGGAACCATTAGTTCGTTTGACGATGATGAATATTACTTGATGATAACTAGTCATCTTAAATCTGGAAGTGTCCCTATTGAAGTTGTTGATTCTCTCGACAGACTTTGTTTGGAGACCTTAGATGATTCCGATGAAGTTCAAGTTTGGGATGCACCCACTAAATTTGAAGAAGAAATCAAATCGACAGTTTATGAACTTAAGGAAATCAACCTTAGAACAGAGGATGACCCTTGCCCCACCTTCATAAGTTATTTATTGAGTGAGGATGAGTCTAGGGATCTAATTCAACTTCTATCCAAGTTTAAGGACTGTTTCGCCTGGACATATGACGAAATGCTAGGCTTGTCCACCAATGTAGCAATTCAAAAACTTGGAATCTAGTAAGATGTCATTCCTGTCAAACAAGCTCCTAGACCCATGCATTTGGAGATCAAATAATAAGTTATTTGTAAATTTAAGAAGTTGGTTGAGGCCGGATTTATCTAGGAGGGACAATATCCTTCTTGGGTAGCCAGCGTCGTGCCTGTTTGAAAGAAAAATGGTCAAATCTGAGTCTGTGTTGACTATAGAGACCTGAGTAAGGCATGTCTTAAGGATAAATTTCCTTTGCCAATTCCAGAACTCATGGTGGACATTGCCTCTTTGCATATTATTTTCTCATTTTTGGATGGCTCGTCTAGCTATAACCAAATAAAGATGGCCCCAGAAAATGAGAGAAACACTGCATTTAGAAGTCTTATAGGGATCTTTTATTATAAAGTGATGCCATAGGGCCTTAAAAATGCCAGTGCAACCTACCAGCGGGGTATGACTCGAATCTTTAACGACTTAATCCATAATCAAGTAGAGTGTTACATCGATAATTTCGTTGTCAAGAGTAAAGTTATAGAGGCTCATCTTTATGATTTAAGAATCATATTTAAGCATCTGCGCCACTACGACCTTAAGATGAATTCCTTGAAGTGCGCCTTCGGTGTCATGTCGGGGAAAATTTTAGGTTTCGTAGTGAGACACCACAGAATTGAAATTGATCATTCCAAAATTGAAGCTATCTTAAATATGCCGCCTCCCAAGAGCCTTACTCAACTATGGTCCCATCAGAGTAGACTGGCGTATATAAGAAGATTCATTTCTAATCTTTCTAGGAATGATGTCAGCCATTCTCGATCCTCACTAAAAAGGATTCCAAATTCATTTGGGTTCAGAAATGTCAATCTTCCTTTGAAAATATCAAACAATACCTGACAAATCCACCAGTTTTGGCAGCCCCAATTATCGGGAGACCTTTAATCCTTTATGTTGCAGCCCTTGACGAGCCCGTTAGGGCCCTCCTTGCTCAAGTCAACAACGAAGGGAAAGAGAATGCTCTCTACTACCTAAGTTGGAGACTTCGCCCAACAAAAATTTAATACCCAATGATCTAGAAATAATGTCTTGCTTTAGTTTTTGTAGACCAAAATTTGAGACATTACATGCCTTCTGATCAAGCCAATTTGATTTCCACTATTAAGCTCATACAATATCTTATGACCAGGACAACATTATCAGGATGTTTGGCTTGTTAGTCTGTGATATTACTTCAATTTTAAATAACTTTCTTTCCCCTGCGTCTGTGAAAGGGCAGGCTATCACCGACTTCCTTGCAGCACACCCGTTACCTGCAGAATCTCCTCTAAACGATGATTTACCCTACGAGAAAATCATGAGTTTTGAGGAATCTACTACTCAAACCCGGGAAATGTATTTTAATGGTGATGTGTCCTCCCAACGGGGATAAAACACCTGAATCGACTATTCCTGTGAAAGCTGGAGTTGGCCTGGTCTTCATAACACTGGATAAAAGAAAGATGTACTTTTCCTACCATTTATCAGAACCTTGTACGAATAATGAGGCTAAGTACGAAGCTTCGATAACTGGCCTAGAACTTACAATTATAATGGAGATTAAATAGATTAAAATCTTTGGTGACTCTCAATTGTTGATCAACCAGATTGCAGGGACCTATATGATTTTGAATCCTAAACTTCTGAAGTACCACCAGTACACCAGTCAGTTGCTCGAGCAGATTCGTGTTGTAACTATGTATAGGATTCTCCGGGGAAGCAATTCTTTGGCATATGACCTTGCAATGCTTGCAAAGAAATTTGCCTCTCTAGAAGAAGACTTTATCTCTATATAAGTGCAGGGTCATCAAGTCCTGTCTCCTTTAGACACGGAGTACGTCAACAAACAGACTTTCCAGGTCCTTTCTACCTCTTCACCAGTTAATGAAGAAATAGATTGGAGACCACCAATAATTGAATACCTTCAAGAAGGCAAGCTCCTTCACAAAATATCACTTGCCAATCAGATCAAGAAACGTGCCCTATCTTATGCACTAGTCAACAATACATTGTACCAATAATCGTTTGATCAGATGTGGCTCCATTGTTTAGACCAATATGAGGCCCTGAAGATCTCTAATGAAGTCCATGCTAGACTATGCATTGCTCATCAATTGGGTCCAAAGATGAAAATGAAGATCAAAAGACTTGGACACTACTGTCCTATGATGACTGACGATTGCATGAAACTTGCAAAATGTTATCATTGGTGCCAAGTACATTGTGTGGTTTTACATCAGCCGCCAAATGTGTTGCATCCCACGATAGCCTCATGGCCCTTCAAAAGTTGGGGCACGGATATCATTGAGCCAATTGACCCTTCTTCTTCAAAGGGTCTTCACTTCATTTTGGTAGCGACTGATTACTTTTCATAGTCGGCGGAAGCAGTCCCACTAAGAAATGTAACATCACACCATGTAATGAAATTCTTTCATGATCATATCATATATCAATTATGTCACGTAGAATCATATCTGATAATGGCTTCACTTTCAAGTATACAAAGATACATAACTTTGCAAATTGCCATGACATTGATTGGAGATACTTAACAATCTATTACCCACGGGCTAATAGATTGGATGAGGCTGTCAACAAAACCTTGATTCAAATCATCAAAAAGACCCTCAATGATAATAAATGTCAGTGGGATGAGAGTTTGGTGGAAGCTTTGTGGGCCTACTGGACCACTTTTGGAACCCTGACCCAATCCACTTTATTTGCACTAGTATATGGATCCGAGGCCGTACTCCCTCTAGAAGTTCAAATCCCTTCACTCATAATCGCAATCCAGAACCAGATCACAACTCAACAGAATTCACAACTTCATTTAGAAGAGCTTGAAGGTCTTGAGGGACGTCGTCTTCAAGCTCAACAAAATCTAGAGTTGTATAAAGCCCGAATGATTCAAGCTCACGATAAGTTAATGCGACCGAGAACCTTCCAAGTAGACGACTTGGTCTTGGTTCTTCGGAGGCCTATCTTGGTGCACCGAAAAATTGGTGGAAAGTTTGAACCAACTTGGGAAGGACCCTTTATAGTAAAGACAGTCTACGAAGGAGGATCGTATCAGCTAGTGGATTGTAAGGAAAATCATCCAATGCATCCTGTAAATGTGCGATTCCTTAAAAAATACTATACTTGATGTAGCTTGAACTTTGAATCAATAAAATTTTAAAGTTTAAAAATTAAGTTTACTCAATTTTGTTAAAATCTTCTTAAATCTCAATATCTTGTGGCTCTTTTCTTAAGGCTAGATGTGAATTATTATGCCTTCTTTCCTTAAGTTTAAGTCTCTTAGTGGTGGAGTACGCCCCCTGTGGTACCACCCTAAAATTTAAATCATGTCCTTAATCTTATGTAGAGCAAGTTTCCTCTACATATGATCATTCCAGACTCAATCATCCATGGAGCAAGTTTCCGACACATATGATCATCTAGACTCGATCCTCTGTGTAGAGCAAGTTTCCTCTACGTATGATTATTCCAAACCCATTCCTTTATGTAGAGCAAGTTTCCTCTACATGTGATCATTCCAGACTCAATTATCCATGGATAAAGCTTCCTCCACATATGATCATCCAGACTCGGTCCTCTATGTGAAGCAAGTTTCCTTCACGTACAATCATTCCAAATCTGATCTTTCATGGGAAGCAACAATTTTTTCCTACAAGATCTCTAGTTTTCTTTTCCTTCAGGATAGATATGAGTCATCGTATTTTCTTTCCTTAGGATTAGATCCGCTAGTGGTGGAGCACGCCCTATATGGCACCATCTTAGTTTTAAATTCTAGATTTGATCTTTCTTGCAGAGCAAGTTTCCTCTCTATGAGATCATTCTTTAGTGATGGAATACACCCTTTGTGGCACCATCCTAATTTAAATCCTGATCCAATCATTCGTGGGAAGCAGTGTTTCCTTCTCACAAGATCTTCAAATTCTCTCTTCTTTAAGGACAGATGTGAGTCATCATGCTTTCTCTCCTTAGGATTAGATTCACTAGCAATGAAGCAAACCCTTTGTGGCAGCATCCTATTTTCAAACTCCAGACTCGATCCTTTATGGGAAGCAATGCTTCCTTCCCACCAGATCATCTAGTTTTCTCTTCCTTAAGGCTAGAAGTGAGTCATCGTACTTTCTATCCTTAGGACTAGATCTTCTAGTGATGGAGTATTCCCTTTGTGGCACCATCCTAGTTTTCAAAGTCTAGATCTGACCTCCCATGGAAAGCAATGCTTCTTTCCCACAAGTCCTCCAGCGTTCTTCTCCTTATGGTTAGATGTTCTCTTTTCCCTAGGATTAGACTCCCCATTTTAAATTTCACCTTCAAATTCCCAAATACAGCCTTCTTCTCCTTAAGGATAATTTTTTTCCCTTCCCTAGGATTATATCTACTAGTGGTAGAGTACGCCCCCTATCGCACTACCCTGTCATCAAATTCAAAACTCAATCCTCTAGGGTTAGGTCTTTCCTTCCCTTATAACCAATTTAAAGCTCAATCCTCTAGGGTTAGGTCTTTCCTTCCCTTACAACCAATTTCAAATTCAATATTCTAAGGTTAGGCTTCCCTTCCTTTAGAATCAAAACACAAATCTGATCCTTTATAGTTAGGAATTCTTCCTGCTTATATGATCACCCAAGTTTTCTTTTCCTCTAGGGATAAACTTTCTCATCCCTTAGGATTTGACCCACTACTGGTAGAGTATGCCCTCCGTGGCACTATCTTGTATTCAAACCCCGATTCCATAAGGATAGACCTTTCCTTCGCTTAGGACTCGACTCACTAGTGGTAGAGTACGCCCTTAATGGCACTATCCTAGTATTCAAACCCCGATTCCCTAGGGATAAAAATTTTCTTCCCTTAGGATAAAAACTCCATACTTGACCTTTCAATTCGGTCAACGCCAATATATGCAATATAACTTCATTTTATTACACATATTGGGGGTCCATTTATTAACCTTATTTTTGTATGAGGTCACTAGAGACCCACCCCGACTCCAGATTAATCCTGACCACACATCAATCAAGAATCTAGACCTTAGGATCTACTCTAGACCCTAAGACTTTTCTATAGTCCATACCCTAGGATCTATCTTGACCCTAGGATTCTTCCAGATCAACCTAAACTCTAAGATTCTCCTAGATCCAAACCTTAAGATCGAATCTAGACCCTAGGATTTTTTTAGATCTTATAATCCTTCTAGATTATAGACTTTAGGATCTATCTAGACCCATGACAAATCTTGGTCCTAGGATCAATCAAGATCTTCAATCAATTCAATTTTCAAATCAAATATAGACTTCAAGCCTATCCTGATCCAAAATCTACTTCAAACCTTAATTGTGCCTATATCAAATTTTTATCCTATCCTATCACTCATGATCCTCCCAACTGATCATAGATGATATGGATAATTCAAATCCACTCATTCAAACTCAAAACCCAATTTAAATCCAAGAATCCAAACATAATTCCAAAGGCTAAGTCCTAAAAGCTTTTTCTTATGGATTTTCAAATACTTCAAAACCAAGTGACATGACCTCTGATTCAGATTCTATCATTTGCACAGTGATAAGACATGTCTCTAGAGGTAACCCTTTAAATTTGAGCCCATTTTGAGGTCTTTAAGCTCAAAAATTGAATTAAAATCTAAAGGTTATAAAACCATCAAATATTTACGGCCTACGCCACTAGACCTATCACCTAGTGGATCCTTATCTTAGAGCTTTCTCAAAAGCCTCTAATCACTTTCAAACCCTTAATCCTGACCCCTTGAGCATTAAACTACATTTTTGTGTACTCACTTTGACCCCCAGTTGACTAGGGGTCAAAATCACCAAAATGCCCCTTAAGGGCAATTTTGATCTCCAAACTTCAAAATGTCCCATTCAAATCAAACCCTAAAATATCTTCCATTGCATCCTAATCACCATTAGGAGTGCAATGGAATCAAGCCCTGACCATGGTCAAACTTGGATGACCAGTTCAACACCTTTTGACCAAAATATCTCTCAGGGGTTCAAATATCAATTTCAAACCAAATGAACTCTAAATTACTTGGACCACTTCCAGAAAGTTTCAATTATCAAACCAAAACTTGTGAGCTTGGACCCACCTTTGGGTCAACCTAGTTGACCAAGTCAACCTAGTTTGACCTAAATACCCCTTAATTTTTTAAATGGGTTATTTTAACCCATTTTGACATTTCAAATCTCTTTCAAATCTCAAACCAACTCTAAATCATGGCTTACCTTTTTTTTAATGAAGGACCAATCAAACCCAAATGACTTTGACCAAGTCAACCGTATGTCACTTGGTCAAATCCCCACTTATATGACTTTATATATTCAAACATCAACCTTTAAGCCATAGGTCCATCACTTTAGCACCCATGGCATTCTTACATGCCACCTCACCAATTATTGACCAGTTTACTTGTCAACATAGTCAACAAACTCTTTTAAAGGGGCTTAAATGCCCAAATGGCTTGACTCAAGTAAGCCCAATCCCCACCAAAACATTCCAGCATCTTTTTTAGACCACTCCTTGCAACCTCAGCAGTCCACATGGCAAGAGGACTGGTCAAATAATCAACCTAGACTTTAGGATGGTCAAAGTTGGTCAAATGACCTTTTAAGGCTAATCCACTCCACCTCTAACCATTCCATTAGCCCAAATCCTCTTCTGGAATGTTCTTAAAACATTTCCTAGCCCTTGGATGCAGATCCATTGGTTCTCATCAACTCCAAATCGCCCCTAAGGGATAAAATGACCTTTGCATGTCATTTTTCCTTATGTTCTTTGATCCATCTGCTCCCACCAACTCCCTGGATAGGTGGCAACCATATGGAGTCCAAACAAATGAATCTTGGCCCTCCATTCAATCTGGAGTGGATTGAATAGGGAAAAAAGCTCAAAATGAGACTCATTCAAACCCTAGCCCTATCTCTCCTCTCAAGAAATCCCAGACCAGACCACTAGCTCTCTGGAACTCTCTAGATCTCCCTCCACTTATTCCCATCCCAATTTCAACGGTAAAGGTTGCCAGCAATCATTTTTCCGGCGAGACAAGGACATTCCATCTAAGCTTCCATTACACGCAATCTAGGGGTCATGAGCTCGAGGTGTCTTCTATAAATCTATATGTGTACCGACTACAATTTCAGAGATAGCCTAAATGGGTTAAGCCGTCCAGTAAATCGAGGTAAAACTCTAAACCTAGTTTAGGATACCTAGGGATAATTATTATTTTATTAATCATGTATTTAATATTTCAAATATATCCCCATTATTTCTTTTCACCTAGAGAATCTAGGTTTAAAATTTCATCAAATTTTGTTAATCCGATCGAACGAACGAGCAAAAAAATGGATTTAGGGCGTCAACCAAAGTCACCTGCTAGTGTACATTTTTTGGACCATTGATCGCATGATCAACGGTCCCGATGAAGCAATTATATGGTCTGATCCGATCGTTTATTCGATCCATCATTCGAATAGCTATTCGACTACATCTAGGCTGTCAGATTATTACCTCGGGATAAAGATCCCACCGTCTGATCCTATTCCGTGAGATCAGACCGTGTGATCGCATCTTGGATGTCAGATCATTATCGCGGGATTAATTTCCTACCGTTTGATCCTTCTCTGCGAGATCAGACCATGTGATTGCATCTGGGCTGTTGATTTCAAAAGGCGGGTGATCTGACGGCTACGAAACCACACTGACGTGGTTAAGTCATCGCGTGGTTCGATATCACGATGCCGCCAATCATTTGGCATGATTGTGAGGATAATTGCTGCGGACGACAATCGTTGGTCACGCTCCACTTGCCCAATGAAGATGCGCCACGTTGCCCCGCATTTTGAATCGCCCAACTAGAGGATGGCACGTGTGCTGGCACAGCTTTAAAATTTAAAATTTGGTTTTAATTAATTTTAAAAACTTTTTTTAAATTTAGAAAATCATAAATAAATATTAAAAAATATTTTAAATAATAAAAATATGTTTTATATAATAAATTTATTATAAAATCAATTACTATATTTTAAAATTAATATTAATTTATAATATTACTTTTATTTTAAATTATTTAAATATTCAATATAAAACATTTTAAAATTATTATTTAATTACTGATAA